AGGCACGGTAGTATTCACCTGTAATCCCAGCTACTCAGGAGACTGAGGCAGGATAATTGCGTGAACCCTGGAGGTAGAGGTTGCAGTGAGCTGAAATTGTACCACTGCAAGCCTGGGCAACAAAGCGAGACTCTGTCTTTTAAAAAAAAAAAAAAAAAAAAGAGAGAGAGTAATGGTGGTAACTAGAGCTAAACATCTAAACATTTGAATAGCCTTTGCACTTTTAGAATGGAGTTAGTTAACCAGATTTTCTTAAGGCAAATTTAAAGAGTAACTTAAAGGTTAGAGGTGGGGATAGCATGCCAGAGGGGTTAGAGGGAGGGTTATGAAAGTACGTATAGAAGAATAGCATAAAAACTCAGAGATAAAATGGGAAAAGATAAAACAAAAATAAAATTACTGAATGGGAACAGCTTAATAGTAGTTAAAAAAAATACTATTCCTACAGAAATGTAGCCTATATAAATTTCTAAATGGCCTCTAACCAGAAGAAACCCATACTTTTTTTTTTTTAAGTTCTGGGATACATGTGCAGAATGTGCAGGTTTGTTACATAGGTATACACGTGCCATGGTGGTTTGCTGCACTCATCACCCCGTCATCTGCATTAAATATTTCTCCTAATGTTTTCCCTCCCCTAACCCCCCACCCCCCGAGAGGCTCCTGTATATTGACGTTCCCCTCCCTGTGTCCCTGTGTTCTTATTGTTCAACTCCCACTTATGAGTGAAAATACGCAGTTTGGTTTTCTGTTCCTGTGTTAGTTTGCTGATAATGATGGTTTCTAGTTTCATCCATATCCCTGCAAAAGACATGAACTCATCCTTTTTTATGGCAGCATAGTATTCCATGGTGTATATATGCCTCGTTTTCTTTATTTCAGTCTATCATTCATGGACATTTTGTTGGTTCCAAGTCTTTGCTGTTATGAATAGTGCTGCAGTAAACATATGTGTGCATGTGTCTTTATAGTAGAATGATTTGTAATCCTTTGGGTATATGCCCAGTAATGGGATTGCAGGGTCAAATGGTATTTCTCGTTCTAGATCCTCAAGGAATTGCCACACTGTCTTCCACAGTGGTTGAACATTAGTTTAACCCACCAACAGTGTAAAAGTGTTCCTATTTCTTTACATCCTTTCCAGCATCTGTTGAGAAACCCATGCTTAAAAAATAATAATAAGATTAAGACTTTTGGTTACCAGTTAAGGTCTTGGTTCGTTAATAATGACTTTATGACCAAAAAAAAAAGTGACATGGATCTCTTTGAAATGTCTTAATGTGTTGGCCTTCAAATTTTTTATTAGCAAGGAAGTTATACTGCAGACTTGGTTGAACTGGTTTGTAAATTCTTATAACTCAGTTCCTCAGAAGTATCAACTGACTGTATTGCATTTAGATTCATTCCCTTTCAAAAGCTGCTTAGGAAACAAATTAGTGCTCAGAGCTGTTTACACTTATAAATGCAATTAAAATTGAAAAGACAGTTGGGAAAATCACTGGGATCTCTTGATAATAGCAGTGGTTGTTTCTGCTATATAATTTGAACTGGTGAGGTGAAAAAAAAAATCACTTCAAGAGTTTATAAAATGATATGTGTATTACCAATGCACATTAAGTGAACTATTCACATTATTTTCTAGATTAAAAAGTAATTTTTTTCAAGTATATGAGGTAGTCATTGTATTATATTCTTTGAAGTTTTTGTTTCCTCTGCTACTGCCACATGGGATATTTTTAAATATGCTTATAAAACAAATGTTTCCAACTGAACTTTAAAAACTAGTCAAGTTTTTAAATTTTAGTATAACTGACATAACTAAAGAAATTAGAGGTACATAACTAAATGAATGAGCTACAGTTAACATAAAACAGTCTTCTAGTATATGTTCTGTTTGTAAATTTCTATTTTAAAAATATATATAATCAAGTAGAAATTCATGATTTTCTTTGGCAGATTGAATGATGCCACAGGAATGCCATTTCTGTATCAGCGCCACTGATAAGTTCTTTAGACTAATAGCCCATTAGACTAAATATAGGAGTAACTTCACTGAAAGATGCCTTTAATTACCCACGGAGCAGCCTTGCAGAACTGCACATTCTGGTTCCCTTGCTTAGGAGAGAGACCTTGTAAGGGACCTTGAGTGATAATTGGTTTGTTTTTGCTGTTTTAAAATATAATTTTAATTTTCTTTTATGCATTTAACTGCTTTTGAGTACCCACTATGTGCCAGGCATTTTGACATTGAGAATATACATGAGTAAGATAGATACGGTCTGTATTTTACAAAAAAAATACATTTTGCCAGAAATACAGGCCAGGAAAGAGGCAATTATAAAATCTGGTGTGATAAACTCGTGTTTGGGTTAGGCAAGGCTTCTTAAGGGAAATGAGAACTAGACAGGAGGGGATGATAATCATGACCCACATTTGTAGTGGGAATGGTAGTGGAGTGAAGCAGAAGGACTTAAGATCTTGTAGGTGCTAGATTTTATGGGGGAGAAATCTGTTAAGATGGTCAGCAAAACATCCAGGATTTCGGGGAGTGAAAAGCTTTCAAGGAGGACACCCAGGTTTCTTCCTTGAGTAGTTGGTGATGCATAGTCAGTAAGAGGATCAGCTTTAGAGTTGTGTGGTGGGAGAGGAAGGGGAGTTAATGTTCAGTAAGGTGAGTTTGGGGAGCCAGTAGGTACATCTAAGTGGAAATTATATTACATGAAACATTAAGAAGAAACAGTGGCTAAAAGACTTCACAAGTCCACATTATTGTTCAGATAGATATCTATTATACTCACCTGTTGTTGAACCTATAGAGTACATCAGAGAATTAGTTATTTAATGTAATTACTTTTTCATCTTGTTTTAATATAATTTCTGGAGTTTCTGTATAAATGCTAAAAAGCCTACAAAATTTAACAAATATTAATTATTTTCTGTAGCCTAGTTCACAACCTTTTTTATATGCTGAAGAATTTCATATAAATTGGAGGAGAAACTTATAAATTACTATATTTATATTCAACTAAATCATTGTTACATAGAGCTGAGGCAGTGGACTGAGAATGAGACCATTTACTGTTTTGAGGTATTAGCTAACCATCGGTTGACAACAAGACCTAAAAGAGTTTGCAGAGAATAAGGGAGCTCTTTAATAAATGTTACAATTAGAAATAGGCAAGTTTCAGGTTTTCTCTGCATACTGGTGTTTCCCAGAAAAGTAAGCATTGGAATCAAATAGCAGATGTGACCATTTTTCTTTTGGTGTATAACTTGTGATAACTACTGTTTTTGTCTTATTACCTAAAATGTGTAATAATAAAACTTTTAATAAAGCAGGGCTGATGAGTTTCCTTTTTACGGCAATTTACCCAGTTTTGAAGATGTATACTCTATTTGCAAGTAAAGCTTTGAGAATTATCCTGTACATATTCTAACGTTGCTGGAAATTTGACTTAATCAGATTAATAACTGGTAGAAATGTATACATGCTCACAATTGCAGCACAAGGAACAAGGTGATAAATAAAATGTGTATTAAATTCTGTTTAAGTTTCTAGCAATTTTTGTGCTAATTAGAAGAAACGAGGCTCAGATATTTGAGTTTAACTCGTGAGAGCAGTTGATTACGTGTGTTTATAATATTAATGTGTTTTAGAGGTTCACATAGCTTGCAGTAACTGTTGAGGGAACTGATAACCAATTTAACTCTTGGTTTTGACAGTCTCACCAAGTCCCACCACTGGCTGATGTTATATTTAAAAAAAAAAAAATTAATATTCACAAGTATGTTAATACTTGATTTCATACCATTAAAGTGCAAATGCTTCATTATCTTTCTTTTAGCAGACTTTGGAGTTCACGTAATAAAATCACTGTAAGTTCAGTTTTCAAAAGCAAAGGATGAATTACAGAATGTATTTTTTTCTGATGAATCAGCTAAAGCTTTTTTTAAAACTAGCTCCTGAGTGGCTCTCCACTTACTCCATTTAAAAAACTAAGCAGATTTAAACTGTTTAGTTCTGGCAGACATAAATTTTCAGGTCCATATTCCTGATTTACCTTCAATATAAAAGTAGGAGTGTTTGACTTTAATAATATGGTTTGAACTTATAAAAATGTGAATATATTCTATATTTTGAAATGTATTTTATATTTGAAATGTATTCTGTATTTTTAAAAAACAATTGAGGTGGCACCTGCATACATACACTCTTCTAAGTTGGTAGATATGAAAGTAATAGTAATATTTCTGTTATGGTATATAATGAATATTTGTGAGTTGAGGAATTACTGGCTATTGGATCTTGACAGATGGAATTTACTGCTATATGAAAAATGATTGTGTATAATGCATTTTTTCTAGGAGATAAAATTACAAGGTTTTAGTAAGTATAAAATGGAAACGTGAAAAATGTTAGATGCTTTTTCTTAAAAAATAAATCTAAATCGTTTATTGAATTTTTGACTTTTGTTAATTTGTAATTTTCTGGTTCTGGTTTATTTTTCTCCAGTAAACATAACTCATAATTTAGGAACATGATTTACTGTGTTTTGGAGGGGAAAAAACCTTGTTGAGCATTTCTGTTATTGAACCTTATAATATTGTAGACATTTTTACAAGTATGTACTTGAGAAGGTTTAATGAAGAAAGCACTATAATGTAAAGGCCAAGAATCTGTACAGGTAAATTGCTGGGTTCAGTAGTATTTTTTTTATATTGTGCAGTAACATCTCTGGACTAAGATTAAAATTTAATAATTAAATTCTTAGAAAGTTTCTGCTATTCATAAGAATTTAATATTACTGAATATAATAAGTTAAATTGAAGCAGAAATTATTAGGCCACATTGTATATTAATACTGATATTCTTTAGCATTTTTCTTCTAATTCACAGACTATCAAGGATGTTGATTTTACTAAGATTTGTATATTCTTAAAGTGATTTAAAGAAGAAAACACAATTCTTCAAGTCTTCTGTTTCTCTTTTTCTTCCATAGGAGTACCAAAGTCTAATCTCTTGCACACTAAATCCTTGAGGGGCCATAAAGACTGCTTTGAAAAATACCATTTAATTGCAAACCAGGGTTGTCCTCGATCTAAGCTTTCAAAAAGTACTTATGAAGAAGTCAAAACCATTTTGAGTAAGAAGATAAACTGGATTGTACAATATGCACAAAATAAGGATCTGGATTCAGATTCTGAATGTTCTAAAAACTCCCAGCATCATCTGTTTGATTTCAGACATAAGCCAGAAGAAAAATTACTTCCACAGTTTGACTCCCAAGTACCAAAATATTCTGCAAAATGGGTAGATGGAAGTGCAGGTGGTGTCTCTAACTGTACACAAAGAATTCTGGAGCAGAGGGAAAATACAGACTTTGGACTTGCTATGTTACAAGATTCAGGTGCCACTTTATGTCATAACAGTGTATTGTGGCCTCATAGTCGCAACCAGGCACAGAACAAAGAAGAGACAAACTCTAGTCCAGAGGCTAATGTCCAGACCCAGCATCCACATTACAGCAGAGAGGAATGTAAGTAAAATGGGCAGAAAAGTAAAAGTTGGGAGGTTTGGGGTTTTTTTACATTTGTATAAATGTATAATGGCTCAAGAATTTTGCTGTGGAATTGTAGATTTGGTAAACATTGTATTTAAATAACAGGTTCACCTTAGCAAAAATGAGATATCTTAAAACTTTTCATTCACTGGAATTCTCCTATGTTCTAAGCATTGAAGTTAGGCAGTTTCCGTGTTTGTTGTGCCATTTAAAATGATTACGCTAAACAGAATCAACAAACTGAATTGGAACGTCTAGGACTCATGTAGTGTATTAGTACAGCTTTCTCTATTGGCTAATACATATTGTCACATTACTAATCCCTACAATACTAATTGACTGGTGGTGGCATTTCAAAAGCAAAAATCTGACATTTTACTAAAGGCCAAAGGTAATGTGTGCAGTTATTGTAAAGTTAGAAGGGGTGACTCATTCTGTCTACATCTGTTTCTACAAAAACTTAGAGAAGCTGAGGTGATTTTGTCTTGAAATCATGATTTCAGAGCCGGAAGGAACCTCTGGTATCTTTTTAAGATTGTATATCTAGATAGACAAATTGCTTTTTCAGACTGCTGGTTATACACTGTGTAATGCTTAATCAAAATAAGCTTAATGGGTAATAACTAACACTTTTTTAAAAATTGAAACAGAATAGGAAATAACAGAATTCACTGGACCTACTACTAAGTATTTTTTGGTGAAACTTTTGTTTCAGTGAAGGGTGGTGGTATACTGGGAGTAATAAAAAAATATATATATGTTTCTGGCCAGGCACAGTGGCTCACACCTATAATCCCATCACTTTGGGAGGCCAATATGTGAGGATCACTTGAGCCCAGGAGTTCAAGACCAGCCTAGACAACATAGTGAGACCCTATCTCTACAAAAAATTCAAAAGTAGTGAGGTGTGGTGGCACATGCCTACGGTTCCAACTCCTAGGGAGGCTGAAATAGAAGGAATCACTTGAGCCCAGGAGGTTGAGGCAACAGTGAGCCATTGATTGCACCACTGCATTCTCGCCTGAGTGACAGGGCAAGACCCTGTCTCAAAAAAGAATAAAGATAAAATTTTCTTACCATGGGTTGTGGTCAGGATTTGAAAACTTCTACTTTACACTTAGGAGAGCTAATGGTTGAATACTGGAGTACTGCTGAACGTTGTGTTGGCGTTAAGTGCAAATTTTTAAAACTAGGATATTGTGTTGGCAATGTAAGCAGCGTGTTTTCCTAGGTTGTTGTGGTAATAGTGAATACATTTTCATGTTTCAGTGGATTCGATGACTCTTGGTGAGGTAGAGCAACTGAATGCAAAGCTCCTACAGCAAATCCAGGGTAAGAATCACTCTCAATGCTTTTTTGTGTGTGAAAATTTTGACATAGAAAATCACCCATGATAGTGCACCATTGGCTTTATCTACATTTAAATTTGGAAATGAGATATTCAAACCTGTTAGAGTTTCCAGAGCAAAAAGAATAAGAAACAATCTTCAACTGCAGAGGAAATACATTTTTCTTTTCTTTTCTTGTCTTTTCTTTTTTTGGGGGGGCAACAGAATCTTGCTTTATCACCCAGGTTGGAATATAATGGTGGTGATCCTCCTGAGTAACTGGGACTTACTGGCACGATTACACTCAGCTAATTTTCTATTTTTTATAGAGATGGGGGTCTCTTTATGTTGCCCAGGCTGATCTCAAGCTCCTGGGCTCAAGCAGTCCTCCTGCCTCAACCTCCCAAAGAGCTGGCATTACAGTTGTGAGCCACTGCACCTGGCCACATTTTTCTTTTCTAAGTGGAAATGGAAACTACAACTTAATCTCTACCTCTTACTAACATTTGAGTGACTATCTACTGTGGCACCAGGCATTACGTGGGCATGCTCCCAAACAGTTCTTTAAAGCATGTGATATTAGTCTTTTTTGTTAATTATAAACAATTTCAAACATCTATAAAAGTAGTGACACTAGTATAATAAACGCCTTAAGCATATTCAGCAGCTTCAACTGTCATCAAAGGCATAATAATCATCATCTCTACTTGGATGCATTACCATTGCATCACCTGTAGCATGGATTATTTTGAAACAAATCCCAGGTAACACATTGTTTTTGTCCATAAATAGTTTAGGATTTTCTCTAAAAGTAACTTTTTCAAAAAGTCACAGTCTCATTATCACATCATCTAAAGTTAATTATTCCTTAACAGTATCAAATATGATGCTAACACTGACAGTTAATGTTCAGATTCCCCAATTGTCTCCTTTTCAATACTTCAGAGATACTGTGTTGCTTACAAAGATCACGTATCCAGTCAGCAGCAGATTGAGGGTTTAAACTCCAAAGGCTAACCACACAGCCTCTCAGAATAATAAAAATAATCACAATAATAATAGTAGAAACTTATGTGTACTTTACAAATATCTCATTTAATTTTTACAGTAGCCTACTGAAGTGCTTACTATCATTATTGATGTTACACATAAAAGGAAATTGAAGCCAAAAGTTTCTTGCTTGAGGCACATAAGAGTAGGAACAAGGATTCAAAACTCCTGGTAGTCTGATTCCAAAGCCTCTTTAAGGGGGTTCCAGACCAGAATACTAATGGGCTCTTCTTGTCCATAAATCATATCATATACTAATGGAATCTGTTTACAGATTCTAATTGAGAAATGTGGCTCAGCTATAGTAACAACCGCCATTTTTGCGGTGCATCTCTGTAGTCATTGGTTATGACTTGAAATTTCACTTGATAGAGACAGCCAAATTCTAATTGACTGTGTAAAGTATACAGAATTCCCAGGATGATCAGAACCAACATGCTTTGTAGAGAACACAACTATTTCTTTGGTGTCAAATCAGTTTCATTGTGACACTTTGCCCAATGCATAGATTTCAGTTAGAGTTCTTGAAATTTAAATTATAGCATTGGCTTTCTGCATACTAAAAATGAAACTTTTTATATCTTTTACAGAAGTTTTTGAAGAGTTAACACACCAAGTACAAGAAAAAGATTCTTTGGCCTCACAGCTCCATGTCCGCCACGTTGCTATTGAACAGCTTCTGAAGAACTATTCTAAGTTACCATGTCTGCAAGTAGGGCGAACAGGAATGAAGTCACACCTACCCATAAACAACTGACCTAAACAGACCTGCTTCATATGCCCTACCCTTTATTGGTCTCCCAGACATGCAAACTTTGAAGAAGTTTGAAGGAAGCTGTGGTCCATTTTTTTATGGTCATTAAATTTGCCAAACATGAGGCAGTATTTAACATCTTTGTCAAATAAAGCAGATCATTATACTCTAGTCTTCTAGGGCTAATCATTTTGGCTCATTTGGGGACTCTTTTTCCTGTAATTACTAAACAAATTTTATTACATGTGACTACTTAAATATACTGTTAGTGTCATTTTATTATATGTAATTCACCTGTCAAAACAACAGATTAACAAATTCCTTAGTCTAAACTAAAGATAATTTTTAAGAGGGAAATGGAATTCATATCACCTCTTTATTATGAGCAATATTTTAATATAAAAATTTTATATGTAAAAATGCTATTTTAGGTACTTTGCCATTCTCTTTATAAATGTGTATTTGAGCGGCTCTGTATATTTATTTACACTATCGTGTGAATATGTTCACCCATAATTCAGGTCACTGCATTTTATTCTCTTAATACAATGTTTTTACAACTGTACCTTGCTTTCCAAAGATAAATGTATTTTGGATTAGAAATCAATTTAGTTGAGTTGTTTTAACTTCTAAAGCTCTTATAAAAAAGGTATTAATAACTTTTTAAAGCAAGTACTGAAGTAAATAAAATACATTATTTTGTTTTGTAACAAAAGCAGTTCTGAGTTAGTTCAGGAAGAAAAGACTAATCTGGCTTTTTTGTCAACTTGTCTCCATAGAAAAGAAAGCCTCCTCTACTTCTTTCATTATTAGCTTCACACCAATGACTGTGATGCATTAGAATTTGGACAGAGTAAGTCAAGCCTTACTTCCAATTCAAATACAATGTCTATCTTCAAATTGAATATGCTGTGAAATTGTTCTGTCTTTGAAAAGTAAGGCTATTTTGTGTACCATTTTGGGTAAAGTTTCAAGAATACTTAAACTGTCTAAATTGTATTATCACCATCATTGAAATTAGTGCTCAAAGAAAGCATTGTGAGGTATTTTCCTAAAGTTTAGAATCTAAAGAGAAGTAGAAGAATTGCTTGACAGAAGAAAAGCAAAACTCCTAATTAAAAAAAAAAAAAACTTTAGCCTATGTATTAAGAGAATGTTCTCGTAAGTTACCTATGATGTTTCCAAAGAGTTTTTATCTAGCAGATTGTCTCAAACAGCTAGATAAGTTTTAGTAATGTATTAGAGTACAAACGTTACGATGCAGAATTAAAATGGGTTCTAAATTCTGTTTTTAACTTGTGTTTAGAATGCATTTATGAGGTAGATCCTTTGCTTGAAAGTATCTACAGAAAAGCCCAGTAACTTGGCAGCTTCTTGCATAAAGCTATAAATGACATTTGCCTTAAATTTGGCAGCCTACCGTGGCTTGGGTTAGATTTTATTCTTGAACACAAAAAATACTTAGCTAAGCAAAGGAACACTTCAGTCTAGTTGAAAACAACTTTTTGTGATGCTAAAGTGTTAAATTGGCTTGAGGGTATTAATTGATATTCATTGATTTTGTTTTATTTTTCTTTTTAAGTATAACATACTTTTTGGAGGGAATTTTTAGAAAGATGCTTTCAGTTTCTCATTCTTTGAATCATGAAAAATAAATTTAAAATCCAGGGAGTATGGATATACATTGCCTTAGTTTTGATGAGCTTTAAATTAAATGTGTGCAATATCAAAATATTTGAACTTACAAGTTGGGTAAATACATTTCCTGATTATGCCAGTATCTTAGTGCTTAATTGTTCCCACATTTTCAAATTTGACTTACTCTTTTTTGGCATAATTCAGTAAGAATTATAAGAAAATGTAATTACCAGCCAGCCAGTGTGTTTGCACACATTTGGGTTTGTGTTTAGATGAGTTAGGGACAGTCATAAAAGTTGGGGATATGTTGCCTTTGATATCAGTAGTAGCATATTTCCAGAATATGAGCCATAAGTTGCAGTCTTGAATACAACAGTGTTATCCAAAGAAAGGAGTTTTCTGACAAATATATAGCTTTACTAATGAGTATGGAACAATTGGGTGAGAGCGTGCATGTACTGAGGTCTTAAGTGAGGACTCTGATTTATTCCATTTAGATATTTCTACTTAAGCTCTTCAAAGGAGAGGTGCTCTTAAAATTTTGCGGTGCTGGTACTCACACTACTTTATTTGGATGAGTTTTTAGTAAAAACATTTTTGTTGAAGTATTTTGCACAGCAGTTTATCCAAATATTTGATAAACTTATAATTTAGTCCTGTGTTTTCTTAATCAAATATGCAATTATTATGTAAGCAAATGTAAGTATCAGGTACAGAGTTGAGTTCCATCAGAACATGAAACATCACAAATATTGGTTTCTGTACTTGGCTGTTCTCTACAGTTGTTAGTAATTTTTGAGGACGTTTTGAACCAAATCTCATGTACTACTGTTTAAAAAGTGGCAAAACAGACTGCCAGTTGTCCATTATTAAAATTTCAGAGCTTATATGACTAAGGGGATTGAGATAAGACTAATCTTTTTCAAGTTCAATTTTATAATTAGACCAGTCAAATTGATTTTAAAAAATCAGAAAAGTGTTTTTGATCATCAGACAGGGTTGTTCTCTTTAAAGTTTTAAATCTGTTCAACCTTACAATTAAGCTAAAAATCAATTATGTTTACTTTGGAATTATCATCTTATCCTTTGATCCTCATATTAATATCTAAATTAGTCTTTTTTGAAAGGCATGCACTTGAGACTCCAGTAATATATGATTCAGGCAGCAGAATAGTGTTCTTTTCTGTTACGCTGTTTCCTATGCACAATGTTGAAACAAGGACACACTCTTTGTTTTTCAAAATACATGTTCATTTTACCACAAAGTGCCCATTTTTATATACATTTAAGGATTATTTTTTCAATATCAAGTTCATGTTGGAAAGCAACTTCAGAAATATAGTCAAAGTATATAGTCAAATATATCTTGACAGGCATCTTGAGATTTTTTTGGTTTTTTTATTTTACTATATTCTTTACAACTGAAAATGATTTTGTGTTTTCTTTATGTTGTTTATATGTTTTTTACCTTTAGTGTTTGCACTGATAAGGCTTGTTGGTCCATTTTTGTTCATTTTCTTAAAGTAAGCTTTTAGATATATTTGTTTTAATGTTTCCATTTGGGTTTTGTTTTGGAAGAATCTGCTTTCATTATTAAATTATAAAATGTAAAATATAAATGCTCTAAACTTAAGTAGGAATTTTTTAAAGAGTAAATTATTTGTGTAGCTTATTAGGAGGTTCAGGTTAGTGACCAAAAGGTGGGTTACATGTACATGAAAATTTTAAAAGGTACCATGTAAAATTCTTGTATTGTCACTTTTTCTGACTTATGCCAGTTCATTTACTGACAAATGTTGTTACTAAGTACTTATTAAGAAGTTTAATACTCTGCAAAAACATTTTATTACTTTTTGTTCAGGTGTAAAGCAAAGATAATTATGTTGTTTCAGTGTATGATTGTATTTTTAACATTAGATGGTAAGGGTAATTATTTGAGGAAATATGTGGGGAAAATTAGTAAGAGATAAAACCCTCAACACTGTTTATTCTTACCAGGTAAAATTTTGTGGTCATGGGGTAGGGTAGAGTTTAGTAACCAGAATAATAGAGCCCTCACACAAAATAAAAATAACTTGGAGGAGGGCTATAATGCTTGCATCTCAGTATTTTTATTTCATCTCATCCTTTCATAATTGACCTTGTTATGATGCAGTCTAGCCTATTAAGTAACCTCCGGCTATGGTAACATTGATATGAACCATGTTATAGCAAGTCTCCAAAATATCTAGTTTGTAACATACACTCTCCCTGTTCTTTTTAGTTTGAGTCCACATTACTAATACATTTTAATAATATTTAATTATTTCACAATTTTAGGTTTACCAAAGTAAACAAAAAATCATGAAGATAAGTATTGCCCTCCCCAAAAAGGTTTAAAGATTAATTGACCTTCCCTCAACTACACCTAAAGCAAAGGGGAATTTTAGTAAGTGTGTGTACCTTGTTTCTTTCAAACACATCTAGAATGTTTTTCTTTCACCCTACTACCTCTAAAAGAGGCAGTTTAGAAAGTATTCAGTAGTGACTTGTTAAATGCCATTTCGTGTGTGTGTGTGTGTGAATCTTGCTTTAAAACAGCATATACTATAGTCATTGAACTTAATCTCTCTGGTGTTAGAAATTTACAAAATTGTATTAATACATTAGAAAAAAAATGAAACTGCTGTGGTAAAAACCAAGTTTGTTTCAAAAAAAGTAGACAATTATTTGGCTGTTATATTTTCTTTGAAAACTGCAATAATTTATATATTTGTATTGCTCTGCTTTGGAACTGTAACTATATATGCTTGTCTACTATTTTTAATTTTACAACAATAAAATAAGTATTTTGTTATCTGCTAGCTTGAGTGGATGTTTTTAAAAGTAGCCTTTTTTTTTAAAATGGTGGGTCGACATGAAGGGTTTTGCTTTGCAGGTTTAGTAAGTCTATACTTAGAATGATCTTATGTGACATTTTCTTAATTTCTTGTTATAATCTTACCTTATCTCTGATACTTAATATTCTCTCTCTCCCAATACAGATGCAGGAAATAAGATGTCTGGACTTACTAGATGTGTATGCAATTTTTTTAATTGGGTTGTAATTCATACACAGTAGGCACAGGTGTTTAACTGTATTGCTTGAGTTTTAACAAATGTATGCAACTGTATAGCCATCACTCCCTTTGGTTCCCTTCACAGTCACTTCATTAACCATTTCCCTTCCACTGATTGTTCTGATTTTGTTGTCGTTGCCCATGCTGGAGTGCATTGGTGCAATTTCAACTCACTGCAGCCTCCACCTTCCAGGTTCAAGCGATTCTCCTGCATCAGCCTCCCAAGTAGCTGGGGTAACAGGCACACACCACCACGCCTGGCTAATTTCTGCATTTTTAGTAGAGATGGGGTTTTGCCATGTTGGCCAGGCTGGTCTCAAACTCCTGACCTCAGCTGATCTGCCTGCCTTGGCCTCCCAGAGTGCTGGGATTACAGGCATGAGCCACTGCACCCAGCCTGATTGATCTTTATCACTGTACTTTGCATTTGCCTGCATTAAAAACTTTATATAAATGTAGTCATACAACATATGCACATTTGTTCCAGACTTTGTTCTTAAAATTCATCCATGTTAGCTCAAAGATCAGTAACAGTTCATTTGCTTTTTTTTTTTTTTTTTTTTTTGCGCTGACTAGTGCTCCTTTGTATGAATATATTATAATTCGATTATTCACCTGTTGATGGACATTTGAGTTGCTTTTAGTTTGGGGCTTATACGAGTATTTTTTAATTGGCTTTAAAAATTATTAAAATAGGAATACGACAGAGTATTCAAGGTCATTTTTAGTATTATGAATCTGAATATTACCAGTTTTTTTTCACAAATTTTTAAAGTGATTTATATATGATGCTTTAATGGCAACAAGCAGTTTAGGAAACAAAGATGATTGTACAAAAGATCAGAGGCAGATTACAAAATAAGAACTGCTTGAACATTGAAACATTTCATGGAGTATTAGAAAAATCTCACTTTTATTTGAAATTCTCTTCAAAGTCTAATAGTCATACTGCTTTGATTCTCAGGAGAGGAAACAGAGACAAAGAGTCTTGTTTGGAAAGAGTACCAGACCACAAATGAAGTTATCCTGTTTAGCTTAAATTAAGTGACATTAAGAGAAATTCATTGTAACTTTTCTAGGGCTGAATTCATTAGGCTTTGTTCATACTCAGTTTCCCAACCTTCTTGGGAATTTTCAAACTATTTATAAAACAGTTTGCTCTCCCCTAATTTTTTTTTTTTTTTTTTTTTGAGAGACAGTTTCACTCATGTTACCCAGGCTGGAGTGCAATGGCGCGATCTCGGCTCACCGCAACCTCCGCCTCCTGGGTTCAGGCAATTCTCCTGCCTCAGCCTCCTGAGTAGCTGGGATTACAGGCACGTGCCACCATGCCCAGCTAATGTTTTGTATTTTTAGTAGAGACGGGGTTTCACCATGTTGACCAGGATGGTCTTGATCTCTTGACCTTGTGATCCACCCGCCTCGGCCTCCCAAAGTGCTGGGATTATATCTCCCCTAATTTTTAATGTCATTATAAGACCAGAAATTCTTTGCAGGTCTTAGAAGCTGACAAGTCTTACGTGGGTAATGGATAGAATAGGAAGGGGAGCTGCTGGCAGAGCAAGGCCTGTTTTGTATAATTTATATATTAATACTCTAAATTCATAAAATGCTATTTGAAAGGTTTTGCTTTTAGAATCTGACATAAGTGATGTGTTAGATCCTTGCAAGTTTACGTCTTTGGGTTTTATCTTCCATATTTTTTTTTTCGGTTTTGTGGTTTTTTTGCTGTTCTTCCACATCTGAATCCCTTTCTAGTGTTTGGATGGCACAAGTCACTTTCACCTCTAGAAGCAAAATCTTCAAACACCTGTGTATATGAGGTACCTCGCCCTGACTGGTGAAGCAAAGAAACTGGATAGGGGAAGGTCTGTGTTGAGGGCATCAATGGCTAACTATCAATAGGGACAACAGTCATTATCCCATATCCAGTAAGTACAACAGGTAAGCTCCTGACATCTGGTGTTTGAATAGCCAATGCCTTGTGCACATTGGACTGTGATCCTAGTAGTTGATTATATCACCTTTGTTCCTGCCTGGTTTCCCAGCCTTCTGGGTGATCTCTCCCCATTGTATAAATTCCTTTATAGCCTAAGTCAACTAGTTGCCTTCTCTAGCTTGCAACTCAGAACTCTTGTTAAACCTAACCTCTTCCACTGGGTCTATGTCCTGTGTTCTACTCTGAGATCTTATGAAATCGGTTTCCAAAAGTGAACTTCTAAGAGTCAATACATATCTAAACTATCCCTCAGCCACATGGGTTGCCTGTTGAGTCAACTGAATCTGATGGGAAGATTCTGATGAGAAATTAAGCCTCTTGGTAATGCATATGTCAGTTTTTCTGTTAAGAATGTGCTTTGGGACGGGCACGATGGCTTATGCCTATAATCCCAGCACTTTGGGAGACCGAGGCTGGTAGATTGCTTAAGCCCAAGAGTTTGAGACCAGCCTGGGCAATGTGGCAAGACTCTGTACAAAAAATTTAAAAATTAGCCTGGCATGGTGGCACAGGCCTGTAGTCCCAGCTACTTGGTGGGCCAGAGACTGAGGTGGGAGGATTGCTTGAGCGCAGGAGGTCAAGGCTGCAGTGAGTCGTGATTGCACCATTGCATTCCAGCCTGAGTGACAGAGAAAGACCTTGTCTCAAAAGAAAAAAAGGAACTGCTCCAAACCATAAACTGCCCTAGAATTTACTTCCCAAAAGATATGGTAATGCTACTTTCCTGCTATGAGACCTTGCAAGATTATCACTGCCTAAAAAATAAAAGCCAGTCCCCACAGTTTAGCATTTAAAGCCTTCACCATTTGGCATCTACTTATTTTCCATTTTAAACCTTTCATCAAATTTCAGATTAGTTATGTGCCACAAACTCCACCAAGCCCTGTAAGTCTTTGGGTCCAAGGGATATAAAAGCCAACAAGATTCTGTTGGTCAACTGGAAAGTATTCTGCCCAAGAGATTAAAAAAATAAGGATTGAATAATGTTTAATGTATTTAGCCACCAGAAATTCATGGAGTACAGTTTTAATGGACCTGTGAAAGCAAAAGTAGATCACAGCAGATGGATGCAAGGTAGTACCACAATTTGAATGTGTTCCCTAAAGTTCATGTGTTGGAAACTTAATCCCAAAAGCAACAGCATTGAGAGGTGGTTTCTACTAAGAGGTGATGAAGTCATGAAGGCTCTGCCCTCACAGATGAATTAGTGTTATGGAGGGAGTGCGTTAGTTATCATGAGAGTGCATTTGTCATAAAAGCATGTTCTGCCCCTACTTGCTTGCTTGCTCGCTCATGTCCTCTCTTGCACTTTCCACCGTGTTATCACACAACATGAAATCCTGCCAGATGCTAAGCACCATGCCCTTGGAATTTCCAGCCTCCAGGACTGTAAGCCAAATAAATGTTTGTTATTAACTATCCATTCTGTAGTATTCTGTTATAGCAACATAAAACAGATTAAGACAGGCAGGGTAGTACATTTGCAGTATGATCTCTTTAAAAAGTTTATGAAGTGAAGTTGAGGCAAAGAAGATGTTGAGTCCAAGGTTATTTATTTAAAGTTCAGTAGTACTTAAAGATGAACAAATACTAAAAGGCGATCCAGTGAAAAGGCTAACAATAGAGAGGTAGCAATTATCAAAGGAATCCAGTTTGAAGAGACAGAACAGAGTATCATACCAAGAATGATTTGTCTTTGAAGAGGTTTAGGGTTACCTCAGGTTTTAACACTAGAAAGAAGATAAAACTATGGATGAACATATCTGAGACAGAGTTGTTGGAGAGTAAGTTGAGAAAGTACTTAAATAGCTAACTCTATTTTCTATGAGGAGAAAGGAAAAGATAATGGGGTCAGAGACTTAAGGGAAATGGTGAAGTCCTGAATAGCTACCACTTGAGTGAGAAGAGTCCTGACCATCACAGGAGGGGTTTAGAAGAGGTGAAAATGAGGAACCATGACTCATCATTGGTTTAGGTTGCCTGAATTTGCATTCGGATTTTGTTGCTGTAAAGAAGAGGTGCTGGGAAGAGTGAAAATGAGGCACCGTGACTGTTGAGAAGAGGTGGAAATGTTCGACCATGACTCACCACTGGTTGAGGTTGTCTGAATTTGCATTCGGATTTTGTTGCTGTAAAGAAGAAGAGGGAGTATTTTTGAAATGGGAGTAAACTAAACTGAAAGCACTACTGAAAATAGATTAGAATCTGAAACTGAGATAAATTTATGGCTCAGAAAGAAAATTTACAAAAATGCTAACTGATAGATGAAATTTCAAGTGTGGGATAAATGAGAAATTTGAAAAGTTGGGCATGTGGGAACAATATGAATACTATAGTCTTGACTTGTTTTTTTCAAGCAATAATTTTATTTGTTCTCTCAGTATTTGGTGGGATGGCAAGGGTAGACTAAGACTCTGTTGTGAAGTTCAAGCCCTTATAGGTCAGTTGGTATCAAGCTTCACCAGAAGGAAGTCAAGAAATCTTTCACCTAGATGAGAAGAGGTTTGAGAATGGTCAGTAAAGTGTATAGAATGTAGAAGAAAACCATAGCATAGCTAACACAAAAGTTTCGGATCTGTAACTTCAAAGCAGAGAAAAGGCAGTGTGAATAGAGAAGGGCCATTCTAGAGGAAAGAGGCAACTGAACTGAAAAGTGATGAAGGCAGACGAGGAAGTTGTAATGAGCAAGGTGATTACTAAACCGACATGCAGGAACTTATAATCTTCTGCCACAACTAAGCACCTC